GTTCTGGGTGTAAAGACCCAGAGATGGGGAAAAAAAGCCTCACCTCTTTCTTTAGAGGCCAAGTTCTCCTATGTTTGAATCCAGAAGAGCAGGGCCTTGAATCAAAGAAAGTTCCTCCTAGCTACCCTGGACCAATGGTTCTTTTGTCACACCAGGACTGCATCTACCACCACACATGTAGACACAACTGTAGCATCCTCAGTCTTTGGGTTTCTTTATCAACAAGAATGAGTATCATTCAAATAAAATTTCAGAAAGATAATTAAAGAGATATTGGAGGCCTTCTAATTCATTTGTAGATTTTTCCCCCCTTTTTATAAGAGATAATTGGAGGGTGAATCTATTTTTACATTTCCACAAGATGAGATAAATATAAGCTGTCCAGAAAAATATTTCCTATTTTTGGCCCTCTCTCATTTTGACTCTGCAAAGTGCATTGATGTTACATTGCAAACAACTTGAAATGTCCCTGTAGTTTCTGGTTCACACTTAGCTTCAACCAGCTTTCACAAAACCTTTGAACAAACAGCACCGGCTCATATCATGTTTAATGGAGGAGTTAAGCAGCCAGCCTGGGAAGCCAGCCTTCCCTCTCCATGGGAAGCTGCTATCTGAATGCACCTCGGCATTCTTGTGCTGTTATTTATTAGTTCCTACATTTATTGCCTTTTCAAAACTAGAAAATACTAGTGAAATTTAAAACAGCTTAATTAAACTTCAGATGTGCAGTTTCGATAAGCCTGGCATGGAGCCATGACATTCCAAGATTCTCAAATAGCATAATCTAATTAATTTTTTTCAAGAACACAGAGGTCATAAACATACAGTAATTTGAAACACTTAGTATCCTGCCAGCTGGCATCCTCTCCTTTCCAGTTCTCTGCATCAAATTTTCTCTTCCATTTGCATAGTGCTGGAGATCTCTCCACTCTGGTAGATTGTATTATGTTACACCATATTCAGCTGAGGTATTTTTTAATGAACTAATTACATGTTAGTTAATAATAGAGCAGTGCTTCAGCAGCCAACTGCTAAATATTGCTTTTAAAGAAAATACTTCGATCTCTAAGGAATGTTTGAGAAAATATTTGGTCAGGGCGGAGCAAAGATGGCAAAGTGAAAGCACTGACTTGCTTGAGTTCTCCCCCAAACCCCTCCAAATACCTATAAAAAATGGCTCTAAACAAATTCTAAAGCAGCAGAACCCACAAAAAGAGAGAATGCAACAAATTTCCAGCCCAAGACAACCTGGGTGATTGATCAGAAAGGTATATCATTCTCGGCTGGAAGAGGAGTGCAGTGAGGCATGGGCACGCAGGCCACAGCAAACCCGGAGCAGACCTCAGAGGACTGAATCACGGGCAGTTGTGGCGGTTTCCAGACTCCTCAATCCACAAATACCAAAGACAACTTAGAAGGTCAGTGGGAAAAGTCTGTTTCTGTAGTGCTGAGAGAGGAACGTGAGGTCTCAGGTCCAGTTCCCTGAGAGGTTGGCCCTAGGGCGGGCAGCTGCCTCCTGAGCTTCTGGCCCATAGACTGAGGTGGAATCCAGTGGCTGATCAGAGAGGGAATGCAGGGATCTCTTTGCCAGTGCTGGGGCAGGAATTTCTTGCTTTGCCTGTGCTTAGTTCTGGGTCACAGTTCTGGGCAGCGGTCCTGGGGTGAGGAGGAGAACTGGAGGTGGAGTGTGTTGTGGCTGTTGAGATGAAACCCTCCTCACAGTTACAGGACAGAAAGGAGTACTTGTGGTCACTAACAGACCAGAGCACAGGCCAGGAAAGGAGTAAACACCTTGCCCCTTATCATACCAACTTGGAAGAACTGAACATTTGCAGGTCCCTACAAGTATCTCTGAAAACAGCTGTACAAGCCCCCAAAGCTTGGGATATTACATTCTCCTCATTGGAAGCTGACTCTTACCTTAACAAAGAGTTTAAAACTCAAGTAGTTGGCTGGGATCATGAGCAAACCTCGCAAAAAGAGTCAGACTATATTATCTTACTTTGGTGACAAAGATGATCAAAACATACAACCAGAAGAAGACAGCAAAGTCAAAGCTCCTACATCCAAAGCCTCTAAGAAACATATGAATCAGTCCCAGGCCTTGGAAGAGCTCCAAAGGGATTTTGAGAAGCAAGTAAGAGAAGTAGAGGAAAAACTGGGAAAAGAAATGAGAGTGATGCAAGAAAATCATGAAAAATAACTCAACAGCTTGCTAAAGGAGACCCAAAAAAATACTGAAGAAAACAATACCTTAAAAAATAGCCTAACCCTAATGCAAAGGAGATCCAAAAAGCCAATGAGGAGAAGAATGCCCTAAAAAGAAAAATTGGCCAAATGGAAAAGGAAGTCCAAAAGACTACTGAAGAAAACACTTCCTTAAAAATTAGAATACAGCAATTGGAAGATAGTGACTTTATGAGAAATCAAGACACTATAAAACAAATCCAAAAGAATGAAAAAATAGAAGACAATGTGAAATATCTCACTGGGAAAACAACTGATCTGGAAAATAGATCCAGGAAAGAGAATTTAAAAATTATTGGACTATCTGAAAGCCAGGATCAAAAAAAGAGCCTAGACATCATCTTTCAAGAAATTATTAAGGAAAACTGCCCTGATATATTAGAACCAGAGGGCAAAATAGAAATTGAACTCCTATGAATATTGTAGCCAAATTTAGAGTTCCCAGGTCAAGGAGAAAATATTACAGGCTGCCAGAAGGAAACAATTCAAGTACTGTGGAAACACAATCAGGATAACACAAGATTTAGCAGCTTCTACATTAAGGGACTGCAGGACATGGAATATAATGTTCCAGAGGGCAAAGGACATAGGATTACAACCAAGAATCACCTACCCAGCAAAACTGAGTATAATCCTTCAGAGGAAAAAATGGTCATTCAGTGAAATAGAGGGCTTTCAAGCATTCTTGATGAAAAGACCAGAGCTGAGTAGAAATTTGACTTTCAAATACAAGAATCAAGTGGAACATGAAGAGGTAAACAGGAAAGAGAAATCATAGGAGACTTACTAAGGTTGAACTGTTTACATTCCTGCATGGAAAGATGATATTTATAACTCATGAGACCTCTGTCAGTATTAGAGTAGTTGAAGGGAAAACAAATATATGTATGTAGATAGATAGATAGATGGATAGATAGATAGATAGATAGATAGATAGATAGATAGATAGATAGATAGATAGATAGATAGATAGATGGCACAGGGTGAGTTGAAGATGAAGGGGTCATATCTGGAGAATAAAATTAAGGGATGAGAGAAGATTATACTTGGAGAAGGAGAAAGGGAGAAGTAGAATGGGGTAAATTATCTCACCAAAAAAACGATAAGAAAGGGCTCTTACAGTGGAGGGGAAACGGGGGAAGGTGAGAGGGAATCAGGGAATCTTATTCTCATAGGATTTGGCTTAAGGAGGGAATAACATACACACTCAGTCGGGTATGGGAATCTGTCTTACCCTACAGGAAAATAAGGGGAGAAGAGGACAAGAGAATAGGGGGATGATATAGAGGAGGGCAGATTGGGAAAGGGGGTAATCAGAAGCAAATACTTCTGAAGAGGGACAGGGTCAAAAGAAAGAATAGAATAAATGGGTGGGCAGGATAGGATTAAGGGAAATAGAGTTAGTTTTTGACAACATGGCTACTATGGAAGTGTTTTGCATAACTGCACATGTATAACCTATATTGAATTGCTTGCCTTTTCAATGATGGGGGCTGGGGAGGGAGGAAGGGAGAAAATTTGAAACCTAAAGTTTTAAAAACACATGTTTAAAAAAAATGTTTTTACATGCTACTGGGAAATAAGAAATACAGGAAATGGGGTACAGAAGTCTATCCTGTCCTACAGGAAAATAGAAGAGATAAGAGAAGGAGGGGGAGAGATAGAAGAAAGGACAGACTAGGGGAAGGGATATTCAGAATGCATTCCATCTTGGGGTGGGGGGAGGGGTGAGATGGGGTGAAAATTTGGAACTCAAAATATTGTGGAAGTAAAGATTGAAAACTAAAAATAAATAAATTTATATTTTTTTAAAAAGCAAAAAAAAAAAAGGGAAAGAAAAGACTTGGTCTCCAAAAACATTCTGTTTAGCCAGCAGTGAGTTATAAATAACTTGCAAATAAGTAATACATATACACATACATATACTATATATTCTTATGTACATTTATATGTACATATGTGTTCATAGTAATGATAATAACAAAATAAACAGGAGATATCTGAACAACCTATCATTTTCCTACCAGGCTATATTTTTGAAAATTAGCATTCACTCATTCTGTTAATCAGGTTGCTTTTTAGCATAGCAAACGCCAGGCCCATAGGAATCACATTCATGGATGTCTCCAGATATGATACCATGGACCATGTTGTGGTCCAACATGGTAGATTTCCATCATGATATTCATCTCTAAAATTAGACCCTAAGTTGAATAAAACAGAATTCAATTGAAATAAAGTATATGTTCATTCTAACCATGCCCTTCATTATTTCTTAGGTTTCTATGGTCTTCCTTCTCTGCCTTTACTTCCAGAATGGAATGACCTCACCCTGGATTATTTCAGTTTTCCTTCTTCATAGTCTTTCCATTATGTATTTTTTTTTTAATGACACAACTGGAACTCAAAGTTCCTTCCTTCCTTCCTTCCTTCCTTCCTTCCTTCCTTCCTTCCTTCCTTCCTTCCTTCCTTCCTTCCTCCCTTCTTTCTCTTTTAAAAGCATTTTAAGGGAGGGGAAAAAAAGGAAAATAATGTATAAGTCACAGCAACTTCTTCCCAGCCAAATCTATATGTTGATAGACCACTTTTCCACCACAGCAGGGTGCCACATTTGTGGTGAAGACCTGTTCACCCAGGCAATATGATGTCATACAGTGTTGTGTTACAAACAGATTTAACAATGTATTGTTGCGTTTTATACCCTGAAAAGAAATGCTCCACTCCAGGCAGCCAAACCCAGGATCCATCTGGTAGACATGTTAGTCAGTGACCCCAACAGCTCAGCACATTTCTACCTATTGAGATAGAGTAAAAATGACTCCTACAGCCCTAAAGTTCAGTTTTATAACACAGAGGATGATGTAATTGGTAAGTCTGCTTTTTCTTTATGTCCTCTGTTCTGTCTCTTTTTTGTCTCTACCTCTCTCTGGGTATCTGTGTATCTCTCTGTATTTTTGTAGCTCTCTTTCTGTCTATCTGTCTCTCTCCCCTTCCTCTCCCTCTCTCCATCCCTCCTGCTAACTCTTTTACTCTCTCTCTCTCTCTCTCTCTCTCTCTCTCTCTCTCTCTCTCTCTCTCTCTCTCACTCTCCCTTTTCTTCTCTCTCCACTTCTCTTTCTTCACTTCTTCGAAGCTTAACTGAGTTCACATTCACTTAAGTGGCCAAACAGATACAGACACATACTGGAAAATAGACATTCTTTTCCCTTGAAATGTTATATGTGATCTTTGCAAACTGAGTGACCAGAACCACAGAAAAGACTGGGATTAATCTTGGGGGATTTTTCCCCTAATAATATCACCGTGGCTCGTGTTTCTTTCCCCTCCCCCTGCTATCCAGAGGGAAAATTTGAATTTATACTGTTTTCAGCTTTTTCCTGGAGGAATGCAAATCAGTTCACCTGCATGCAAACAAGGCTACAATTAGGCATCTTGAACATAAAGTACGCTAAATAAAAGCAAATAAGACCAGAAGTTGTCCCCAGAGAAACAAACATACCGCCAACAGGTACAATCTCAATCATGCTATCAAACTCAAATAGAAAAAGCCACTAAACCCATACATCAAGATCCCTGTAGGCCAAATACTGATTTGGAAAACCACATATAAACATTATCTATGTTCTATTGTATTTTTATTTAGTTAAATATTTCCCAAACACTTTTTAATCTGGCTCTGGATTACTAAAATATACAAGCCAGCAATGAAGCCTCAGGTAGTATGTTTGGCACCTCTGGTGAAGATGGAGAGTTTAGTGAAAACAATATCTGCCTGGTCTTATGACCTGTTTCCTCTGCAGTTTTGAGTTCTTTGCCCTGACTTCCACAGAGTACGTCCATATCCTCGACATCAATTCTGCCTGCATCCCTTCTTCCACTTAACTCTGTAACTTTAGACACCTCTCTCTGGTTCCCACAATGCCTCTACCTTGATCCAGGGCATTAGAGGAAAGGAAATCTTTTCATTCTCCTTCTTTGCTGAACATATTTGCTCCACCTTCAAAATAATTGATAGTCATCCTGCCCTTCAAGCAGGTTTTGAAATCAGTGAAAACAACATTGGTACCAAAAAGTAGAATTGGGCCCTGATAATGACTATGAAGAGGACCCCAATTTTAACTGATGCTTCTTCAGTTTAGACCCTAAGGTATGGTAGATTCTGATTTTGAACCAGTAAAGGTGGAGCAGAATTTTTTTGGCATCTCTAAAGCTGCATAATATGAGTTTATAGACAAATGCAAAGGGGCAATCAGAGATATCTTTCTTCATAGGGGCTGCCAACCACAGATCCTAACTTGTTAGGTGAAAGGAGAATATCCTACCAAGCTTTAGATTAGGGGACATTATGTTTCTCTAAGAGAACCTTGATAATTATGGAGAAGAACACAAAGAAAGTTTAGATCTGATTCTGGCGGCATGTCTCTATCCTTCCTCTATCAGATATAAGGGCATACTGAAGCCTGCAATAATACTAGGCAATATAGAATATGTAACCAAATTCTTCAGGTCTTTAGGAGAAGAAATGACAATTACATTTGTTATTATTATTATTATTATTATTATTATTATTATTATAATGGCTAGCATTCATAGGACACTTTAAGGTTTGCAAAAAAATTTTAAAAAAAGGTTTACAAATATAATCTCATTTGATCTTCCCAACAACTCTGGGAACTAGGTGCTAATATTATCTCCATTTTACAGATGAAAAAATAGAGGCAGAGATTAAATGATTTGGCCAGGGTCATACAGATAAAAGGTATCTGAGACTGGATTTGAACTCAGGTCTTCCTGAATCTGGGTCCAGTCCTGTATCCACTGTACCACCCAGCTGATATGTTGATACAAATATAAAATCTCATTTGACTCTCAAAACAACACTATGGGAGGCATAGCCAAGATGGCAAAGTGAAAGCAGCGACTTGCTTGAGTTCTCCCCCAAACCTCTCCAAATACCCATAAAAAATGGCTCTAAACAAATTCTAAAGCAGCAGAACCCATAAAAAGACAGAGTGAAACAAATCTCCAGCCCAAGACAATCTGGATGGTTGATCAGAAAGGTATATCATGCCAGGTGGGAAGAGGAGTGCAGTGCAGTGTGGGTGCAGGCCTCAGAGGACTGAATCACAGGCAGTTGTGGCAGTTTCCAGACTTCTCAACCCACAAATGCCAAAGACAACTTAGAAGGTCAGTGGGAAAAGTCTGTTTCTGCAGTGAGAGAAGCATGGGGTCTCAGCCCCATTCCCCAAGGAGCTTGGCCACCGGGGCGGCTCCTGTCTCCTGAGCTTCTGGCCCACAGACTGAGGGGGAATCGGGTGGCTGATCAGAGGGGGATTGCAGGGATCTCTTTGCCAGTGCTGAGGCAGGAATCTCTTCCTTTGACCCTGCTTAGATCTGGGTCACAGTGCTGGGTGGCGGTCCTGGGGTGAGGAGGAGCACTGGCACGGTGGAGCTTGCAGTGGTGATGAAGAGAAATTCCTCCTCACAGTTCCAAGACATAATGGACTGCTTCTGGTTGGTCACTCACACACGAGAGCACAGGCCAGGAAAAGAATAAACACCTTGGAAGACTGAAAATTTACAGGTCCCTACAAGTATCTCTGAAAACAGCTGTACAAGCCCCAAAGCTTGGGATATTACATTCTCCTCATTGGAAGCTGACTCTTACCTTAACAAAGAGTTTAAAACTCAAGTAGTTGGCTGGGATCATGAGCAAACCTCGCAAAAAGAGTCAGACTATATTATCTTACTTTGGTGACAAAGAAGATTAAAACATACAACCAGAAGAAGACAGCAAAGTCAAAGCTCCTACATCCAAAGCCTCTAAGAAAAATTTGAATCAGTCCCAGGCCTTGGAAGAGCTCAGAAAGGATTTTGAGAAGCAAGTAAGAGAAGCAGAGGAAACACTGGCAAGAGAAATGAGAGTGATGCAAGAAAGTCATGAAAAACAAGTCAACAGCTTGCTAAAGGAGACCCAAAAAAATACTGAAGAAAATAACACCTTAAAAATAGCCTAACCCAAATGGCAAAAGAGGTCCAAAAAGCCAATGAGGAGAATGCCCTAAAAAGCAAAATTGGCCAAATGGAAAAGGAAGTCCAAAAGCTTACTGAAGAAAACACTTCCTTAAAAATTAGAATACAGCAATTGAAAGATAGTGACTTTATGAGAAATCAAGACACTGTAAAACAAATCCAAAAGAATGAAAAAATAGAAGACAATGTGGAATATCTCATTAGAAAAACAACTGACCTGGAAAAGAGATCCAGGAGAGAGAATTTTAAAATTATTGGGCTATCTGAAAGTCATGATCAGAAAAAGAGCCTAGACATCATCTTTCAAGAAATTATCAAGGAAAACTGCCCTGTTATATTAGAACCAGAGGGCAAAATAGAAATTGAAAGAATCCACCAATCTCCTCCTGAAAGAGATCCCCAAAGGAAAACTCCTAGGAATATTGTAGCCAAATTTAGAGTTCCCAGGTCAAGGAGAAAATATTACAAGCTGCCAAAAAGAAACAATTCAAGTACTGTGGAAACACAATCAGGATAACACAAGATTTAGCAGCTTCTACATTAAGGGACTGCAGGACATGGAATATAATGTTCCAGAGGGCAAAGGACATAGGATTACAACCAAGAATCACCTACCCAGCAAAACTGAGTATAATCCTTCAGAGGAAAAAATGGTCATTCAGTGAAATAGAGGGCTTTCAAGCATTCTTGATGAAAAGACCAGAGCTGAGTAGAAGATTTGATTTTCAAATACAAGAATCAAGTGGAACATGAAGAGGTAAACAGGAAAGAGAAATCATAGGAGACTTACTAAGGTTGAACTGTTTACATTCCTGCATGGAAAGATGATATTTGTAACTCATGAGACCTCTGTCAGTATTAGAGTAGTTGAAGGGAAAACAAATATATGTATGTAGATAGATAGATAGATGGATAGATAGATAGATAGATAGATAGATAGATAGATAGATAGATAGATAGATAGATGGCACAGGGTGAGTTGAAGATGAAGGGGTCATATCTGGAGAATAAAATTAAGGGATGAGAGAAGATTATACTTGGAGAAGGAGAAAGGGAGAAGTAGAATGGGGTAAATTATCTCACCAAAAAAACGATAAGAAAGGGCTCTTACAGTGGAGGGGAAACGGGGGAAGGTGAGAGGGAATCAGGGAATCTTATTCTCATAGGATTTGGCTTAAGGAGGGAATAACATACACACTCAGTCGGGTATGGGAATCTGTCTTACCCTACAGGAAAATAAAGGGAGAAGAGGACAAGAGAATAGGGGGTGATATAGAGGAGGGCAGATTGGGAAAGGGGGTAATCAGAAGCAAATACTTCTGAGGAGGGACAGGGTCAAAAGAAAGAATAGAATAAATGGGTGGGCAGGATAGGATTAAAGGAAATAGAGTTAGTTTTTGACAACATGCCTACTATGGAAGTGTTTTGCATGACTGCAGATGTATGGCCTATACTGAGTTGCTTGCCTTTTCAATGAGGGTGGGTGGGGAGGGAGGAAGGGAGAAAATTTGGAACCCAAAGTTTTAAAAACACATGTTTAAAAAAAATGTTTTCACATGCAACTGTGAAATAAGATATACATGAAATGGGGTACAGAAGTCTATCCTGCCCTACAGAAAAATAGGGGAAGGGGAAAAGAGAAGGGGGGGAGAGATAAAAGGGAGGGCAGACTAGGGGAGGGGGTATTCAGAATGCATTCCATCTTGGGGTGGGGGGAGGGGTGAGATGGGGTGAAAATTTGGAATTCAAAATTTTGTGGAAGTAAATGTTGAAAACTAAAAATAAATAAATTTATATTTTAAAAAATGAAAAAATAAAAACAAAACAACACTATG